TGAAAAGGGTTTTATATAGCACCAAAAAGGTTCTTCTATTGTTACAAGCTTGACATAGTAACAATAGAAGAACCCTTTTTGGTGCTATATAGAGCCCTTTTCAAAGGTCTAGATACGTGCAGGTGGATGTTGGAGAGGGTCTAGAGTTGTCTAGGTGGATGTTGGAGAGGATCTAGATTAGTCCAGGTGGATGTTGGAGAGGGTCTAGAGTTGTCTAAGTGGATGTTGGGAGAGGATCTAGATTAGTCCAGGTGGATGTTGGAGAGGGTCTAGATTAGTGCAGGTGGATGTTGGAGAAGGTCTAGAGTTGTCTAGGTGGATGTTGGAGAGGATCTAGATTTAGTCCAGGTGGATGTTGGAAAGGGCCTAGATTAGTCCAGGTGGATGTTGGAAAGGGTCTAGATTAGTCCAGGTGGTTGTTGGAGAGGGTCTATATTAGTCCAGGTGGATGTTGGAAAGATTCTTTGTAGAACCACCTAAAGCACATTCTCCGTTATCCTGAAGAACCCTTTTACAATGCAAAAAACCTTTTAACCATGCAAAGGGTTCTTTGAGTGTTCATGGTTCTATAGAAAAACATTTTTTATCTTTACTAAGGGACCCTTTCAGAACCCTCTTTTCTAAAGTGTAGTTTTGAAAGTTTTTAAAATTAACTGCTTGCATTTCATGCTATTGATCCATACTGTAATAGAAAAGCAATTTCTTTAATATTTTGCATGCATTTTCATCCTGTGAGACACATAAGGCCCAGTCTAAGTTCTGTCAGGCCATTTTTATGGAATTAGGGCATATTTCATCCCTGTTGTAAGAAAATGTGTATCTAACAACAGTAACTTAACATCTGGTGAAGGAGCTTAAAAAAAGCTTGAAAAGTTTCCAAAATTTTGGTTTAGTTATTGTGAAATATTCACACGGTGTAAAGGACAGCTGGATGTTATCTCTCTCTCTCTCTCTCTCTCTATGTATATATATATATATATATGTATAATGGTGCAACCACAGTATCTTGTAACAGAGGCTTCTCCTTTAAAAGCTTAAAGTAAAGCAACACATGCTAATGCTGCTAACAGTGGAAGCTGGAGGCCACTACTGAGTGATTGTCATTTGCCTGATGCTAACTGAAAGCTATTTATTGTTAGCAACATCAGCATTACCGACTCAGACATTCCTGTTTTAAGTGTATTTTAATGAAGATAAATGTACAAATGCTTCCCATGAAGTACTCCACTAAAATAATCTGATATGCAGAACTGTAAACAAAACTGACAAACACAGAACTCCCCTCCCGCCCTTACTACCGCTATTTAGATTCAGAAAGCTTTAACCTGGTGATGCTACTAGAATATATCCAGATAATCAAGCAGGGGCTGCCAAACTCTACCAAACCGGCTCCTTCCGTCTTCTTCTTTAAAGTAATTCCAAGCCGCAGATTAACCGTCAGAGCGTCTTTGTTTTCCAGTCTGAGGTGCGCTGACGTGTCTGAGCAGCAGTTTTCTTGTTTTTGTGGCAGTGGAAAGGAAAGCTGAAAATCAGCCTGGTGCAAACTGGGTGAGGCTCAACGCCCAGGATATCAGACAACGCAGCTGTGGCAGTGGCACCACAAAACTCCTGGTTAGAGTGCACTGCCAAACCAAGCCTATTGGCACCAATCATGCCAGCATCGTTATCAAGCAAGAGCTGATGCTAACCAACTTTGCCAGCTTCGTTTTCTCAGAGGTGTGGCCACTGTAAGCCACAAATTTAGAATAAAAACTGTTTTTCATTTCACCCCAAATAAACTCAATCAGCCAAAAGCATATAGTTTGCTTCTTGAGGCTAATGTAGCTAACAAGCAGTGGAGGCCTGTAGCCACTAGTTAGCATCATTAAGTTGTTTATGGCGGTTTGTATGTCTAGAATAGTGCTGGTGAATATTGTTGTGAGTCTAGATTAGTGTAGGTCGATATTAGAAAGGGTTTAGATTAGTCCAGGTGAATACTGAAAAAGGGGATAGATTAGTGCAGGTGAATGTTGGAAAGGGTCTAGATTAGTCCAGGTAGATGTTGGAAAAGGTCTAGATTAGTGCAAGAGGGTGTTGAAAAGGGTCTAGATTAGTCCAGGTGGGTGTTGGAGAGGGTCCACACAGTGGATGTTGGACAGGGTCTAGAGTAGCCTAGATGGACAGTAGAGAGGGTCTAGATCAGTGCAGGTAGGTGTTGGAAAGGGTCTGTCTTAGTCCAAATGGATGTTGGAAAGAGTCTAGATTAGTACAGATGGATGTTGTTGAGGGTCTGGATCGGTCCAGGTGGATGTTGGAAAGGGTCTAGATTAGTGCAGGTGGATGTTGGAAAGGGTCTAGATTAGTGCAGGTGGGTGTTGGAGGGGGTCTAGATTAGTGCAGGTGGATGTTGGAGAGGGTCTAGATTAGTGCACGTAGATGTTATAAGGGTCTAGATTAGTGCAGGTAGATGTTGGAAAGGGTTTAGATTAGTGCAGGTAGATGTTGGAAAGGGTTTAGATTAGTGCAGGTGGATGTTGGAGAGGGTCTAGATTAGTGCAAGTAGATGTTATAAAGGGTATAGATTAGTGCAGGTGGATGTTGGAAAGGGTCCAGATTAGTCCAGGTGGATGTTGGAAAGGGTCCAGATTAGTCCAGGTGGATGTTTGGGGGTGTCAGTGCTTTCAGTACTCTGACCGCCTTGGGGAAGAAGCTGTTGCATCTGAGTCTGATGGTGGTGGAACAGATGCTCTGGTACCTTCTGCCAAATGGCAGGAGGGTGAAGAGTTCATGAGGGGGTGGGAGGGGTCATCAATGATGCAGCACTCGTGGTAGGAGGTGTTGATGGTGGGTAAGGACACCCCGATGATCTCAGCTGTTCTCACAATCTGCTGTAGGAACCGAGACGGTGCAGTTCCCATACCGGACAATGAGACAGCTGGTCAGGACCCTCTGCTGACCCCCTGTAGAATGTAGTGGGGATGGAAGAGGGGAGGTTCGCTCTCTTCATCCTCCACAGGTATTGAAGCCACTGCTGGGCTTTCTTAACTAGGCAGGTGGTGTTGAGCATCCAGGTGAGGTTGTCTATGATGTCCAAGGGACATGGAACTGTGGACTCTCCACGGTTGAGCATTGATGTACAGTGGAGAGGATCACCGGGGTGTTTAATGTTCTTCCAGTTCTATAGATAACAGCATGTCATACAGTGTCATAAGTTTATTTTTAGAATTAGACGCAAACTGGATCAATTAATTTTTTGTTCAATTTTGGAATTTTGGTCACTGTAAAGTGGTACTTCCGTACTAGTAGCTCAACACCGACCTCGCATTTAGCTTCACGGGTGGCTGATCTCTCACTGCTCAGTGAACAAACTGAATATTTTTGAAAGGAATGCCAAATAATAGATGCCGTGCTGCTACGGTCTGCGACTGCAGGGATCCTGCACCGCTTCCAGCAGTAGAATTACAGAGTAATGTGATCGGACAGCGCTGTAAATCACGTGGTGTAAAATTATGCGGTAATGTGATCGGACAGGAGCGTAAATCTTCTGGATGTGAAGAAAGAGTGTTTTCCTTTGGGACTACTTCTCAAAGCTGCTCTCTGAAACTTGCTCGAAAAGAACTCTGGAAACGAGTTGTGTCTGAGTCTGATTTACAGTTTTGTAGCTGTTACGATATGTTTCTTTCTTTTGTGATTGAACATATTTTGATGTTATTACTTTTAGATTCATATGTGTATTTCTTTTTGTTTTCTTGTACATTCTGTATGATTTAATAAATAGATTGAAGAGTGTTCCAATGAGCTCAAACTCAAACATTCTGGATCTGAGAGTGCAGCCTACACAGCCCAGCTGGAAAAACATCCCTCCAGGTCCAAAAAAAAAAGTTGCAGGAATCTTACAGATTAAATCAGACGCTGATGTTCAGCATTAATTTACAGATGTTCACAAAGTGAATGTTTTGACTTTAGCCTTCAGTGTTTCTGATACATCTGAATCAACCGGCATTGCAGCATCAATATTGTTAGATTCAATTATAATTATTTAGAATAACGTTCAATAAAGTAAATGTAGTTCTGAATCAAATGAAAAGAATTGAATAGAATCAGTTTATGGTGACTCAGATGAACTGATTCATTACGAGGTCAGAGATTTACACCTCCAGCGAATACTGACTTCATACATTTGTAATCAATGTTTTCAATCATATAAAATAAAACCGGTTTTCAGATAATCAATAGTGCACTGAGAAGGTGTGAATAGAACTGTGTCCAAAATGAAGTTACATTAGTAAAATTAGAACTTAAACTAATATCAGAAAATTTGTCACAAACATATTTAAATATTTTGATTAATTTTAGTTTCTTTATTTGATTTTATCCTCCTTTTGTTTTGTTTTATCTTCTCTTGATTTTACTCGCTTTTACATTTTAGTTACGTTTTAATTATCGTTTTATATTTTCTACTTTTTTTGTATTTTCATTATTAATGTTTCATTTTTTACACGTACCTGATTTGTCATTTTATTATTAAATTTACTTTTATTATTTATGTTCTTACACATTATCACTCAACTCGGCAACATTGTAAATGAAGGGTCACCCTCAATGTTCTCCAAGATTAAATAAACTTTGATTGATTGATTGAAATAGACATTTAAAGCATATTTTTTGTCTTTTATTAACTTTTTTGTGTACGAAATATGAAAAATACTGAATAAAACATCTAAAAATACATTTTGGAACATTGAAACCCTCACAAAAACCTCTCAATATGGCAAACCATTACAAAGTTTTGAACGGCACTGTATGTATTTAAATTGTATGTGGAAAAATTGCAGAAAATCAACAACGTAGTGCTGTCCAGTAACTGGACGTTTTGTTTTTGTTCTGTACTAATGGACTGCATCGTATCAGAAATATGCTACATAACAAATACAGTGTCTTTCACTTCAGAGACCAGTTTCACTGTAAATCTAAGTGTAAAGTGATGTAAAAGTGTTCATATGTCCCTTTTTCCCTTTCAGCCCCTCCGTCACTCCAACTGGGAATGAACTTCCAAGATGAGGTACGACTTTCCTGCTCAGATCTCTTCTAGGACTTATAGCGAGGGGGAACGAGCATTCAGACACTTTTGTTTTTGTTATTTGCTGCATTCCCAGTGCACATATACACTGCAAGTCTACAGAGATGATGTCTTTAGAAATATACACAGAAAAGTATGCATTCATGAGCACAAATAAAGATATGTCTAAAAAGAAATGAATAGGGAAAAATGCTTTCAGCTTTCCGAGGTTTTCAAGCTGTTCCTGTCTAAATCCATCATCCCACTTTGTCCGAAGTCCGCCGCAATCATTCCACTGCGGAAAAAGACTGTCATCAGCGGCCTCAACGATTACCGTCAGCACTTACGCCGGTCATCATGAAGTGCTTCAAGAGGCTGGTCCTGCAGCACAGCCTTCCACCCAGCGTGGACACACACTCGTTTGCCTAAAAAGTGTGCAGGTCTACAGAAGATGCCATCTCTGACTAGGGATGAGTATCGAGAACCGGTACTAAATTGGTAGCGGTTTCTGACTGGTCAGTAAGATCCTGGACAAACAGTGCTGCTATCAACATTTAAGTTACATTAATTCATGCCGTTTTTAAATGGTTGGTGCTGGATTAGCAGGACGGGGCGCTCTGGTCCGGCGGCCAGAGGGCAGCAGGTCAAACAGGTGATGTCCAGGGTGGGTGAGGCTGATGACAGTCTTTTTTGGCAGGGGAATGGTTGTGGCAGACTTCAGATATCAGTGTGGGATGATGGATTTAGACAGGGACAGCTCGAATATCTTTGTGGAGACCTCGGAAAAGCTGAAAGCGTTCGCGTGCCTCCGACCACCTTAACCATTTCGAATGCCGAGTGTCAGTCTGTGTCTCATTGCTGAAAGCGTTGTCGTTCAAAAGTGTGGGGTTGACGCTGAGTAGTTGTGTGTAAACAACAGCCACCTCATGAAATACAGCATTCTGCAGCGTGTTTGCTTTAGCGGAGCAACTGCTGCACCTACGTCCTCGGTGCGGTCTTTCGGTGTTCAGGAGGAAAAAAGACAACAGGGGTGAAGTCCAAAGACTGGCAGCGTGGTGTTCAGACAACAATCTCGTAATAGACTCAGACTTCACAGAAGTCTACACAGAAAGGACCCTGGTTGCCCGGCCGGGGAATAGAACCCAGGCCCTTCTTGCTGTGAGGCCTAGGTGCTTTCATGGCCAATGCCCTGACTTGAATTCCGCTGGATTTTGAAATTGTAAGTCCATCAGACGGTCCCTTGTAATCCTGAGGAACGGTTTGCATCAGAAGCACAATGCTGTAAAAAGCGAATCACTTCTTACCGTAGTCGTCTCAAAACTGTAATTGCCAATAACGGCTTTGCAGCAAAGTACTAATAATATTAGTTTATGGTGTCTGAATCCTTAAAAACACGGTGGAATTGATGGGGGTAAAGCATATCTTTGTTTATGCTTATGAATACATGCTTCTTTTTTTCTTCTACAGTTTCTGAATACTTGTTTTCCCTCATTGTGTATACTAGGAAAGATTTTGTGTACATTTTTTTTAAATGCTTATATAGTTATGAGCAACTGTTAGGGATCATGGAATGAAGCTCTTCAGGTTTCTGTGCTAGGTGCAGTTTAAAATATGAAAATCTAGGTCATGATATAGGTATCTAGGTCATGAAAATTATTATTTAATATTTTATGAAGTGGAATAGAATTCTATGTCCACATTTCTGGAGTGAGTCACCCCCAGGTGTACAGTGCTGCCATATCTGAGTGGCATTATCTGTTGGCACATCATGTGACTAGCTTGCATAAAATTAATGATCTATTTGATTAAAGGGCCTGTGCCGTGGAAAGCGGGAATTTTCGTTCCTTTTTGAAATATATATATATATATATATATATATATATATATATATATATATATAAAATACATGTATGCAGCCTACCTGCAAAAACAGCCCATTTTGACTTCTTCATGGTTGTGATGTCATCATCACTGCTCATGTAGCCCTGCCCTATGAGCCTATAGCAGTTAAGCCCCACCAACTCAGCCAACAGCAGTTTAGTCCCACCCATTCAGCCTATAGCAGTTTAGCCCCACCCATTCAGCCAACAGCAGTTAAGCCCCACCTATTCAGCCCACAGCAGTTTAGCCCCACCCAATCAGCCTATAGTAGTTCGGCCCTGCCCATTCCGCCTACAGCAGTTTAGCCCCACCCATTCATCCGACAGCAGTTTAGCCCCACCCATTCGGCCTACAGCAGTTTAGCACACCCATTCAGTCTACAGCAATTAAGCCCCGCCCATTTGTGTTGAAGTGATGTGGAGTGCTGTTCCTGCAGGCAGGCTGTAGCAGAATTCATGAAGTGGAAGGTATTATTCCTCATTTCTACTACTTTCTTTATGAATGAGGTGTAATACAAAGCAGCCAATCAGAAGACAGCTTGTTTACATATGTCAGTCTCAAAGGCACACCCTGTTTAATTCTTAGGCAAAAAGAGAGGTTGGAAAACGGTCACGTAAAAATAACAGTGTCTGTTTTTGATATACAAAACCACACAAATAATCTAAGTGGACCTCTAAGTGGAAAATGCACAGTATTGTGCAAAAGTCAGAGAACCCCCCTCATTTATTTAATTTCCAGTCAAGACAGCCATTAAGGCCAAAATATTCATTTTTCAGGAGATATTTGAGGGGAGATTAGATATAAGATAATCCACTTGTAAAAAGAAGGAGCAAGTCAAAGGAAAAAGCCATGAGTTTCCAAAACTGCAGTTCAAGAAATGATTCAAAGCTACAGAGAAAACGGGACCCCGAACAAACACCTAGAAGACCAGGTAGACCCCAAACCTGCCCCATCAGATAAACAGCACTTATAGCTTTCATCTCTGAGAGAGAGGAGAAAATCAAGCTGCTTCAGATCTGAAAACATCCACAGGTGTTTCTGTCCATCCTTCCACTGTGAGAAGACGACTCAGCGCTGTGGGTCTGAAAGGATGTGTAGCTGATCAAGAAGAACCTCACTGAGAAAAGGAGACGGACACATCGAACAAAGAAGCTGAACGATGGACTGACCACCCCAGAGTCCAGACCTCAACACCACTGAATGTGTTTGATTACTTCAGAAAATGATCGACCAGCTTCTAAGACTGAACTTTGGAGGTGTGTCTGCAGATTCTTTGAGGAACTGAAAGCGAGTCTCCTGAGAAGAGTGGAAGCTGGAATAAAGGGAAAGAGTGACACACTCAACAAATAAATGAAGGGTGGTCTCTGACTTCAGCTCACTACTATAGATGACAATGCAGGATGTGGTAATTTAAACACCACTGCTGGAGTTTAGACAGTGACATTTTACAACTGTGTGTCTTTTCTTGTTTCTCTAAAGGTTCTAAATAGGAAACTCAGAAGCTACATCTTCATCATCGTCATCATCGTCGTCATTCTTTCTGCTACAGCTAACCCCTGAACATCAGAGCGATCGATGCTTTTACCTGGTCGTGACCCCTTTTTGTTTTCTACTTTCATGAGTCTGTAAATGTGTTTGCGCCCATGTGGGATTGATGAAGTAACTGACTGGACCAGAACTCCAGAAGAAAAATACGGACCACCTACTACAATTGTGGTTCCAATTACAGGCACCTTTCAAACCTCCCCAAAACCACATGCACAGGCGCTGCACCAGCTGGGTTTGGCCGTCTTCATGCGTGGCTAAACGCTGTGGTTTGTGTTTGCGTGTTTGCGTCCAAGCGTCCGTGAATGGGTTCCACTACCAAAAGCTGCACTTACTCGCTTTGCTGTTGAGAACAAAGATGAGATGAGAATGGAAAGTTTGAATCAGTTTCGGTTTAAAACACTTCACCCTCCATAAACCCCCTGACCTACTTCTGCACTGTTGCATACAGGAACTGAACTACACGAGTGCCTCCACTACAGCTGTTGACTCAGGCTTTTACACCGACTGGCTCATCAAGGCCGTGCACAGTGCACATGCATTAAGTTTGTACTTAAGTAGATGCTACAGTGGCCCCAAACGTATTTAACCATTGATAAACCTTAATGACAAATTGATATTTGGGTGACGCTTTCTTGTACAGTCCCTAAAGTTCTAGGTATTAGCATGATGGTAGGTTCTCAAGCAGTCTACGTAAATCACACTGAAACGTCCAACAGGTTCTAGTAGTAGTTGATGACACGCGGGTTCACTGGTTGACGGTCTTTTTAAGATATTAGTCATTAGCGTTATACCGATATGCAAAAAAAATGCAGATAATGCGACATACGATGATTCCCCCACTTCTAGTGTGGTGAGTCTGCATCCTGAGGTCAGTTAGTCCAGTTTATTGTCAGAGGAGTGACAGCAGATTAACGAGTTAATGGGGAAAAGAGAGTGGAGGAAAAAGCCAGTCTCTTGGGGTTAGCCGTTAACCATTAGCCTAGCATGGGGACTAGCTGGATCTCCGCGTGCCCCGCTCCTCGCTCAGCCAGCTGCTTTAGGCGATGCCACAGTCTCGGCTTACAAGCTGAGAGAATCCACAGCTTCTCAGCTATACCTGATAGTGTGTTAATATTTACTAAATTCCAGCGTAGATTAAAGCTCTACAAAAAAAATGTTTATTTAAGCATCCACAGTACTGTGTATTTATTTTTGGTAGTTATACAACATGAAAAGATTGTAGATGAATAAAGCACACAGTCTTATATGGTACGTACCTGTTTATTAACTATAAACAAAACTGTGTGCTGTAAAAGAAAGCGCTGGATACTTCCTGTTTACAGTTACTTTATAGTTTGTGCTGTCATTTTACACCACGTAACTTACCCACTACTTGTTTTTAACTCTCTTTCCTGCTTAAGTGGGTCATTACAGTGCAATTTAGTTTATGTTTGTGTTCAACACCTTGTCCAAATAATTATGAGATATTTTACTGTCTAATTTATGAGCTTAATAGCTAGAACCTGGTGGGCATTTCAGTGTAATTTAGTTAAACTGCCTGGGAACTTACATCATTTTACCCAAAAACAATGATGGAGTTTGTACTTGTCACGCTTATCCAGTTAATACCTGCAGCTGAAGGGTCTGTAAAAGAAACCATTACCGATATTTGTTTGAGGAAAAAAGCACTTTTAGCGCAACATCAGGCTGACAGTGGAGTCTTTGTGTGGAGAGGAGCTCCAATCAGTCTGCGCTATGGGTTCTGTAAAGCACAAAGTCTGGAGCTGTTTTTCTTACAAAGCTGTCGCTGAGCTTGAGTTCACTGATGGGATCATGAGGCGTACAAAGACATTCTGGATGCCTGCGGATCGTCTGCGAAGAATCTGCTCAAATGAGAACAATCAGCCGCCTTCTGAAAGAATATAGTTCCAAAAAGAAAATGAGGGTCTTGGAGAGGAAATGAGAATCTGTTTAAATTGGATTACTCTTGTTCCCCAACGCAGTGAACCTAATACCTTTTAAAGCCTGGCACAAATGTCCAAATACTTTTGGGGCCCACTGTATATACCTTGACGTATCCATGCTCCCATGGTCTTTCATCGCAACTGTTGCTGGGTTGATTTAGTAAGAAATTAGAGTGAGTTTTAAATTTTAAATGATATTTATTTTGTATATCTGTGAAAGAGTTTTTTTGGAGCTAATGTTAGCATAGTGGCTACTTTATTTTCATTTCCTCCCTAGTTTTGATGAACTACTACTTGGTAGTGTAGCATTTTTACCTGGACACTCCACGTTATGCAGAGACGCTAAACAGAAATCACTACAGGTTCTCATTAGGTTGAATGAATAACTGACTCTAAATGTAGGTATTGTGATATAAACTGAGTCTGTTCTACAGTTTCTCATTAGGCTGAATGAATAACCGACTCTAAATGTAGGTATTGTGATATAAACTGAGTCTGTTCTACAGTTTCTCATTAGGCTGAATGAATACTGACTCTAAATGTAGGTATTGTGATATAAACTGAGTCTGTTCTACAGTTTCTCATTAGGCTGAATGAATAACCGACTCTAAATGTAGGTATTGTGATATAAACTGAGTCTGTTCTACAGTTTCTCATTAGGCTGAATGAATAACCGACTCTAAATGTAGGTATTGTGATATAAACTGAGTCAGTTCTACAGTTTCTCATTAGGCTGAATGAATAACCGACTCTAAATGTAGGTATTGTGATATAAACTGAGTTCTATAAACCTCACAACAGTAGCTATGAAAGAACACAGAGCATGGATTGGGCGTCGTGTACCAGACACAGCACTTTTTTTGACTGTTTTGAGCATTAAAAATATCACTATTGATATTTTCGTAAATAGGGGTGGGCAATGTGATGCTATATTATCATTACATAAATTATGTTATGATACGCTTTTCTGAGAACATCACAGGTACTATCAGTATTTCTAAAACACCATAAAAATATATGGATTTACATAAATTGTATAGCCTGTAAACAAGGAGCTGATTGGATATCAGCCTAATACATTATTATCTTATTTATTTTTCACCAGTTGATTTGTCCTCCTGTTTCAATAACAATCATTTTAACAGTTGTCAATATCGACCAATAGAATTTCAAAGCTAAAACAAACTATAGTTGTGATCTAATTAAAGCCAAGGCATTAATAGAGATATTAATCAGCTAAAAATGTACAAAAACCTTTCAAATTTAATCTTTTCTTCCGTCCAAAATACTTTCTATAGGGAGGTGTCAAACCTCTAAATTTACACTTCTGAATATTATTATTATTATTATATATTCTTTTGTTGCATTTTTTTCTGTTTAATGTTGTTTTTTAAAATATATTTTTGATGCCTTTTGAAGTGAAGTTGAAAAATTAAAATGTATTTTTTACATCGAAAAAACTTATTTTAAAATTTAAAAAACGCTGTCCCAGGTTTTCATGTCACTACCGAAACACAGAGTTTTATCCAGTAGGCGGGGCCTTATTTAAGCCACACCTCTGCATTTTAGAGCAGAAAGTGACGCTGCGTCACAGTCCCTCATGGCCACATGGTGAGCAGTCAGATCTCAATGTTTTGAATAAAATTCCTTAAACTCAAATAAACAGCAGAAATATTACAAATAATGGGGTCAGAGTTCACTTTGTTAGTTTCTTTTAATTATCTATTATGTTTCATATTTTTGTGATTAGTCCTCAGTTTTTGGTAACACTTTAGGGTGCTGTTCATAAGGCTACATGACACCTACATTAGCTTGTCATAACAACTGACAAAACCCTACATAAATGTTTACACATGCTTATTCCAGTATGCGTCGTTCGCTAAATGGGTTACATTTGCCAGTTTTGATCAAAGTTAGCTAAAGTAGCCTTTAGCTATTGGAATATGCAAGTATAAACACTTATGTAGGGTTATGTCAGTTGCCATTTAGCCTTATGAACAGCACCCTGCAGTAAAGTGTTCCTCAGTTTTCCTAATATCAGAGTTTGTTACAATTTAAAACAATGCTACGAAATATCGTTTCCAATACTGATAAATCAGTGCGACTACAATATCGGTTGATATTATCGGCTAACTGACATATTGGTCGAGATCTGGTCTGTTCAGCTGGTGAGCTCAAAAAAAAAGAAACACTGTGATTTATATTATATTGTGCTGTAAAGATCTTACCAGGTATTGCAATATAGCATTTCTGCCACATCGCCCACCCTTAGCTGCGAAAATGACCATGTTGTTTTTGTCGTAAATTGTGTTGGTCAGCAGTAACAACTCGTTACTGTTCAGAACTTTCTTTGAAGACATTTTTGTATGCAAACCAAAAGGGATAAACTAGAATATTGTCACTGTCATAAGAAAACATCATGAATTTGTAGGAGAAAGAAAACAAAAAAGCGGTTTTAATGTTCATTGACATTTATTTGGAGCATTTGTTTTGCTGCCTTTTTCAAATGGTGTAAAAAATAAAACTGGGAAAATAATTTTTTTGTTAAAACAGTGACGATTTGCTACTTAAACACTCCTCACACAGTAAACACTCATAAGCTTTTCTATCATTTTTTTGTAGTTTCATTATCTGAAGTACTGACAAACATCTTTCTTCACCATTCTTTCCTTTCAGTGGAATCCCACGATTTTTAATTCCTACATAATTCAGTGGTTGAGATGTAAACAGAGTCATTCAGAGCGGTTTGGTGTGAAACGCTCTGTTCTAGAGAAACTTAAAGTCAGAACTGTTCACAGTGGTGGTGATAGGAACCAGACGTCCACCTCTAAAAGCTCCCTCACAGACAGTCACTGTATGAGATGGTTATGAATTCACTGCCTGATGACTGAGACACTTTTATGATAATTTTGAGAAGATTTTGGCCTTAAACTCCATTCATGGTGGAGGGATATATAATATGCAGGGTGCTGTGAGGCAAAATAGTCCCCAAAGAAAACTTATTATTTCAGATTTTCCACTATTTTCCATCATCAACATTCCATATAAACTCAGAAGACTCGTGTAGGTTCACTGGTGGTTCTGGATAGTAAATCCATGTCTATATTTGTGTTGTAGTCATGGCGACCCCTGGTTCCTATCACCACCACTGTAAAGAGATCTGAGCCATTTCACACCAAACCACCCTTAATCTCTCTGTTCACCTCACAAACACTGAATTATGGAGGGATTTGGTAAAAATCAGTGAGGAAAGTGATTCTGTTACAGTGTTTTCAGGCAAGGTTCTTCCATTGGTCTTAATAATACAACATGCAGGCCTCAACAGCCTCTACAGACGGTGTTTTTCTCTTGTCACTGTGAAGCTGAAATGTGAAAGGGAGTTTTCGGGGGACCGGCTCGCCGCATTTCGTCTCCTGACAACATTTTATTTATTGTATGTTGGAATGCGCTTGGAGTTTTTTTTGAAAGTTGTGAGCCTTAAGTCAGGTTTGACGTTTAAATTCGCATCAGTAGTTCATATTTTGGTTCGATCTTGCTTTTCCTTTATAACGTTTGTTTTTTTAGCCAACCCTGTTATGTAAAGAAAAAAAATGTTCAAAGCTCTTCAGTGTTTCTAGTATTTCACTCTGTAACACTCATTAAACCATGTATTTCTGTCGAATGTACTGCAGGAAAAAATGCAACCTTTTTTTGAAGGAACTTTGTTGTCTGGTTTTTTTATTCATATTTGTGAAAAATAACGGCTTGTTTTTGATGGAAACATCTTCAGCCAAGTTTCCATCCAGCTGTTGAACTGAATTAAGTTAAACTAACTGAAACGTTGCAAAAGATTTATGCAAATAAGGCCGCGTTTCCGCCTGCTGTGTTCGAGACAGTGAAACGGCACAATCGTAAACTCTTCTGAGAGCAAGTTTACAGTGAGATCTTCAATACTGAGCAGCTGTTTGGTTTAAATTTATGGCTGTATTTGGAACAAAACGGCTCAGGAAATTTCCATTAACCTCCTTTTCACAGTAGCCGTAAAATGACAACCCCGTCTGTTTTTGAGTTCCCTCAGTCGTGCATCATTTTGTCTTCAGTTATGCGGATGGAATATATTTTGAGAGATGATTTATAAACACTAAAATTCTCACCTTTGTAGGAGAGCAAGCAAGTCCAAATCTGTAAAAGGGTTATTGTGTTTGGATGCTGTGTGTTTATTGTGTCAGTTATGCAGGATTTTTCGATATAAAGGAAACAGCGGTTGTCTGTTTTATCTCGGCGCTGAGAGCTGTGAATAGTTTTTCACAGCAGGGGGTTCTGACCCCTCCCCTTCCGCGCCTCATTGCTCAATAGCAAAGCATTATGAACATAGCTATACCGGTCATTCTACAGAAATGTCCGTTTTTGTGTCCCTAGCGTTTACAGATATATTACACTTATATATATATATATATATATGTATATATATATATATATATATATATATATATGTATATGTATGTATGTATATGTATGTATGTATATATATATATATATATATATATATACACACTATATTACACACAATAGGTTATTTTAACAGCTGCACTTTCTTGATCCATCATCTTATCAATATTGGCTTTTAAATCAATTATCTAGATTTCCAAACACCACAGAAGAGCTCATCCTCACAGTTATGTGTGAAGGCTGAGGCCATATTTTGAATAAAAAACACAGTTCCCCAGGAGTCGTGTCACTGGTGTCCCTGCGTAACAAAAAATCTCTTATTTTGAAATAGTCACACTAATGACATCACTTGACTTCCTTTTACCTGTTTTCTGAGGATCTGTGAAGAAAAGCACATGGTGAGTCCACTGTGTCTTTCAGTTATCAGAGATTTTCTCATTCAGCTCATGATTTCATATGAAGCTTTTAGCTGAAGTCACTGGTGTCACCGACTTTATTCTGAGGTAACTGAAAAAATAGAATCTAAATGGATTAAATTCCATATTTTAGTGGATATTCCATGACTGACAACATGTGGTTTGATGCTCTGTAGCAGTTATTTTGTAAAATGCTTTTTTTATCAAAAATGTCTCTGGTGTTTCCTTTATTATGTGGAACACCAATGAGGATCAGTAACACCAGTGATTCCTATGGTTAGAAAAGTGGATGTTTCTGTTGAATGACCCATAGATGATTTTTAAGCATTAATTAGTTCATGAATTGTTACGCATTGTAAACATCATAGGTGTTCCTAATATATTGTCGTTGCAGGTCCAGCTTTCATAGTGCATTATAACCTGCTTAGTCCTTAACACATGCTGAGCCATGCCATATTTTCTTGTAATAATGTAATGTAATAAAGCTTATAATCATTTCTAATGTAAATAGACAAAAGATAGCAGTTTGGCTCTGAGTTTATCAGGCTGAAGATTCTCCACAAGGGGGTGCACTTCAGTAGTTTTTCACAAAAGTGATGCTTTGAATCACTGACACTGTATCTTTTTTATTTGATATGCCAAAATAAGCATAACAATGAATTAGCAACTCTTAACTTACTCACTCACCCATGTTTATCAGGCTGAGGATTCTCCACAAGGGGGCACTCCAGATGTTTTTCACACAAATGATGCTCCAAAAAAATGACACTGTGTGACTGTTTATTTGAATTTGTATTGTCTTATTTTAGACCTCAGAAATAATTATACACTTTGTCAATTGCCAATAAAATACTGTATGTAAGGATGAGTGGTATAATAGCAAGTTAAAGTGTTGAATTACAGTAAAAGTCAAAATTTTTAAGATATAAAAATATTTTTTTACCATCATTGAGAAAACTTAATGGGTTTGTTTGGCACCTCTGCTGCTGGAATGTTTCTTTTTTTTATTAATTTTTAAAATGTAAATTTTGTAAATTTTGTAATACTATACATTCTTTTTATAATTTTATTCAACATTTGCTGTTAACGTCAGGTCTTTACATATACAAAGCACCTAATGGCTAAAGATTCTCCATAAGGGGGCGCACTCCAGTAGTTTTTTCACACAAGTGATGCTTTGCATCAATGATGCTGTATCTTTTTTATTTGACATGCCAAAATATGTATAAAAATGAATTAGCAACTCAACTCACTCACCCATGTTTATCAAGTTGAAGATTCTCCACAAGGGGGCACACTCCATATGTTTTCACACTAGTGGTGTTTCGCATAAATGACACTGTGTGACCTTGTTTATTTGAGTTTGTATTGTCTTAAATTAGACCTCAGAAATAATAATGCACTCTAATGTCAATGGCCAATAAAATACTGTATGTGGGGACAAGTAGTATAATAGCGAGCGAAAGAGCTGAATTACAGTAAAAGTCAGAATTTCTAAGATATTAATGACTGTAATTCCACAGATGTTTACCATTTATTGAGAAAACATACTTTAATGTTACTTAATGGGTTTGTTTGGCATCCCTGCTGCCAGAATTTTTACTTTATTATTATTTTTTACATTTTGAAGGTTTTGAAGATTTCAAACCATAACTTAGTACATTTTGTGATTTTATTCAACATTTGCTGGTAACATCAGGCCTTTTCATATACAAAGCACTTAATGGACCTGGCTTGTAACTCACTCACTCATGTTTATCAGGCTAAAGATTCTCCACAAGAGGGCGCACTCCAGTAGTTTTTCATACAAGTAGTGTTTCGCATAAATTTTACTATCTTTATTAATTCGATGTGCCAAAGTACATAAAAATGCATTCGTATTAACTCCCTCACTCACTCATATTTATCAGGCTGAGGATTCTCCACAAGGGGGCGCACTCCAGATGTTTTTCACACTAGTGGTGTTTTGCATAAATGACACTGTGTGACCTTGCTTATTGGAGTTTGCATGTCTTATTTTAGATCTCAGAAATAATGATATGCTCTAATGTCAAAATGCTGTATGTAAGGATAAGCAGCATAATAGTATGTGAAAGTGTTAAATCACAGTAAAAATCTGAATTTCTAAAACATTAAATGGCTAATTTCACAGATGTTTACCACTTACTGAGAAAACATACTTTAATGGTATTTAATGGGTTTGTCTGGTACCCCTGCTGCCACAATTTTTAGTTTTTTTTTTGTTGTTGTTTTTTTAATTTTTACAATGTACAAGTTTTTGAAGATTTCAAACCATAACACTGTACAATTTTGTGATTTTATGCAACATTTGCTGGTAACATCAGACCCTTTCATATACAAAGCACATATTGAACCTGACTTGTAACTCACTCACTCATGTTTATCAGGCTGAAGATTCTCCACAAGGGGGCGCACTCCAGTAGTTGTTCATACAAGTAGTGCTTCACATTAATGATGCTGCATGTCCTTGTTCATTCGACATGCCAAAATATGAAACTCTCAAATAAAAAGTTACCTCTGTTGACAAGTGAGGTTTATTAGATCAGCACAGTGGAGCCTTAGTCTTAGGTAAATGCCCCAGAAAGTGGAGCTCACGATAATTATGAGTTTGTTTCATCTTATTTTAGAGCTTAGGAAGAAATAATGAACACAGCTAAGCCTTTAGCTCTTAAGTAAACACACCTTCAAAACTACTTTAGAGAATATTGAACTTTTCTCATTGACCTTTCTTTGGAGCTCAGACTTTAATTAGAGACTTGGGGAGGTGGAGGGATTGGTGGGGGTGGTGCTCAAGAATCAAACAAGCTACAAATCATCACAAAGCACAAAGATGATTATTTTATTTAATAGGATGTAAAGGAACACGGAACAAAACAAACCAAATTTACAAGAAGCTACACATCATAATCCTCGGCGCGGTGAAGCTTCCGATGGCCTGTCCATTTTACACGTG